GATCTGTACTTTGTTCACAAAAATACATGGACAGATAGACGGACGGACTAACGGACGGACATGCATAAATCGACTTAAAAAGTGATTCTATGCATATTCTCAAAAGGAACCATGGGTCTATCTCGTTTCATTTTGCCTGTTACACACATATGCACAAAGACATAATACCCTGTACCACAGTGTGGTGAAGGGTATGAAAATAAGGAAGATCTTCACCGATTGGCTTTATCCTAGTTCATACGAGAGCTATACACTCCCAGAGAAACGTTGCAAAATTTGGAATCGATTGGCTTATTAGTTTTTGAGTTATCGTGCCCGCCATTCACAAAAAAATGTTTAGAGAAAAACGCGTTTAAAGTTTGAGAAGCCCTTCAGCCGTCACTTGATGCTGACACAATAAATCGGCTATATCTTCAAGAGTTCTTGAGATTTTCACTTGAAATTTTGTAGAGACATTCTTTAATCAGTGTAGATTCGAATTATATCAACAAAAATTTTGACCCCGAGAATGGGGGGGTCCCCTCAAATCGGACGAAAATATATATGGGAGCTATATCTAAATGTGAACCGATTTTCACGAAACTCAACACACATCATTCTAGACCTAATTCATTACGCTGTACCAAATTTCTTGCAAATCGAAAGATATATAGGGACTTTGGTACACTATATACCTTAAATCGGACGAAAATATATATGGGAGCTATATCGAACCGATTCTCACGAAACTTAGCACACATCATTCTAGGCTTAATTTAGTACGCTGTGTCAAATTTCGTGCAAATCGAAAGATATTTAGGGACTTTGGGGCACCATTTACCATAAATCGGACGAAAATATATATGAGAGCTATTTCGAAATCTGAACCGATTTTCTCGAAACTGCACACACATCATTCCAGGCCTTATTTAGTATGCTAAGCCAAATTTCGTGCAAATCGGAAGATATTTGGGGACTTTATTGCACTATTTACCTTAAATCGGAAGAAATTATATATGGGAGCTATATCTAAATCTGAACCGATTTTCACGAAACTTATCACACATCATTCTAGACCTAATTCATTAATCGGACGAAAATATATATGGGAGCTATATCTAAATCTGAACTGATTTTCACGAAACTAAACACACATCATTCTAGACCTAATTTATTACGCTGTGCTAAATTTCGTGCAAATCGAAAGAAATTTATGGACTTTGGTACACCAACTACCTTAAATCGGACGAAAATATATAAGGGAGGTATATCTTTATACAGACGGACGGACGGACAGACGGGCATGCATAAATCGACTCAGAAAGTTATTCTCTGCATATTTTCAAAAGGAACCATGGGCCTATATTGTTTCCTTTTGCCTGTTACAAACATATGCACAAAGACATAACACCCTGTATCACAGACTGGTGAAGGGTATAAAAAGCAATCAAAAAAATATTTTGGGAGTCTTAAAATAGGCAGGTATTTTATAAATATATTTTTTCAGGGGTCTATATAAGGCGTGGATATATTAAAAATAATTTTTACGCCTTGTAAAAGGCTTCTTAAATATATTTTTTAAAAAATCTACGCCTTGTTAAAGGCTTCTTAAGGATATTTTTAAACTAGTGAGTGGGGCAGTATAGTCGGACGGAGCCGACCATATGATACCCAACACAGCTAACACGGAACTCTAACTTTCTGCGGATGTTTATTTCGAGCCTGGGCAATATTTTGTGATAGTTACACCCTCTTGTCCGATTAGAGGCCAACAGCACCTCATCCTTGCACTGACATATATTCCGAATATGACTAATATTCAGTACAGCCCTTCTAATTGCTTGTCCATATTCTCTTTACCTTGGGTTGTGTTGTGATGGTCGGCAAAAAATTAACTTTTCCATCCATTTCATCGCAAAATTATTATCCGTTCATCACTGAAAATTATAGACGTTGTCCTTGACCATAACTGGAACCTCATGGACAATTTCAAAGCGATCAGCGCTATATTTTCGCCCTCCAGTGTTGTAATCGGTTACTAAATAATATCTGAATACGTAAGAACCTGTAAATATGTACGTGTAACTCCCACATCCTAGTACATACTACTATATAATTGGTATCAATTTAGAGGCCAACAGCTCCTCTTGGATATACTATCAAAAAATACTATCAACTTCTCGGGTCTATGCCCTGCAGGTGTAAACTATACATTATAGAATACAAATTTTGTAATTTTTCACACAAAAGTCAGGGTCCATTTGACCCACTAAATATTGACTGATCTTTATCGAGACAGGCATGTTTATTCTTTGGCCCGATTCCCTTCTCCATGGAAAAATTCGCGGTAATTGCGGCAAAAAATTAAATTTAAGTATTTGGTCCATTTCATCCCCTAAATATTAAGCGATCTTTACCAAAAACAATAGGGGTCTTCATTGGTCGGAACCCATCCTACATGCAAAATTTCTTTAAGATTGGTCCACAACTGTGACCTGTATCGTATTTACAAATTATAATGGACAGACGGATGGACGGACACACACGTCTAGATCGACTCAGCTAGTTGAGATATGACTATCGGTATACCTAAAGGTGGGTCTAGGATCAATATTTCGCGGCGTTACAAACTCTTGGGGCTGCACAAAGTTATAATACCCTGACAACATAGTTGTGTAGGGTATAAAAATCCATGCCCTGGTAAAGGCCTCTGAAAAAAATGCAACCAAAAAATTTGAATTGATCCTCTTTGGTTCCACTGTTTGCTTTTTGTTGTTCTTTGTCCGCATTTTTTAAAGCAACTTTAATAATGGTATTCTCCAACCATAAATGTTTCTTAGGTCCGGTCCTTTAAAACCATTGTTTTTGTGTTGTGTATACACACACACACACATACAAACACCTGGCAATATTGAGGTGCTTTGTGTAATTTTTTCTACAACTCACAATTACATTGTAGAAAATACTTATGAAATGTTTTTCCATCCACTTAAGTGGAAGGGGAGTTGCCTTGGAGTGGGGAAATAGTTCTGACTACAGGTGTTCGAAATTGGCATTGGTGGTTAGGTGGTTAGAGGGGAAGGAATCCTAAGGGAAAATTTGGTATAAGCTCTGTGCTGTGGAGTTGTACCTACCACACCAGGACCAATATTATGCCTTTGAAAAATATATATTTTTTTGTCCTGAAGGTCATCATGGGTCCTGGGGGATACTTTCACCCTCGCATATCCTTCGTAACATTCACATTTGTTCCTTCTAAACTAAGGGAAAATTTGGTAGAAGTTCTGTGCTGTGGAGTTGTACCGACCACACCAGGACCAATATTATGCCTTTGAACAATATATATTTTTTTGTCCTGAAGGTCCTCATGGGTCCTGGGGGATACTTTCACCCTCGCATATCCTTCGCACCATTCACATTTTTTCCTTCTAAACTTCTTTATTCGTTTAATTCTTTTAACGATTTATTCTTCAACAACAGTTCGCTTTATATTTTACTGCTCATATGTGTGTGTGTGTGTGTGTGTATGTGTGCGTGTTTGTTTGTCGACTTGCAGTTTTTACAAGTGGCCGTTTCATTGTTATAGCCATGTCTGTGTGTGTGTGTGTGCATATTTATAACCACCAAACCTTCCGATTTAACATTGATTGTTTTTCTTCTTCTTCTTGCTTTTGTTAGCGGCAACTAAATCCACATACCATCCAACCTCCTGCTATTCCACCTGTTATATATGTTTGTATGTCTCCTGAATTCCTTCATATGTTTGTTTGTATTTCCCCACCAACCAGCCAGCCAGTCAGCCAACCAGAATGATGGTTTATTTTGTTACGGACCTTTCCTTCAATTCGAATAGTGGACGGACTCGTTCTCTCGCACATACAAAAACGCTTAGTTAGTTACCGGACGATTTTCTATGGAGTTGGTTGGACGGTTGCCTCGACAAATGCGTTAAAAAATAATACAATAACAACAACAATACAAATACAAATCCGTTCTACTAAGTGCAACTAATTAAGATATTTAATTAAAAAAATTGTATTCAAATAAATAAAATCGGGTGTTACAAACCGATAACCACGAGTTTCAATGAAAATGTTTGAATTTTCGAAGATATTTTCCTTGAGGAGGTAAGCGTAGATTTTATGAAGAAAACATGGACCTACCCGAAAATTGATAAAAAAAAAGTGCACAATGCTTCAAAAAACATTCCACGCCTAATGGTATGCCACAAGAAAAAATAATTTAAAAAAATCCTCGCCTAATGGTATGCCACAAGAAAATTAATAATTTAAAAAAAAATCCACGCCTAATGGTATGCCACAAGAAAAAAAATTTTTTAAAAAATCCACGCCTAATGGTATGCCACAAGAAAAAAATATTTTTTAAAAAATCCACGCCTAATGGTATGCCACAAGAAAAAATATATTTTTAAAAAATCCACGCCTAATGGTATGCCACAAGAAAAAATAATTTTTAAAAAATCCACGCCTGAAGATATGCCACAAAAAATAATTTTTAAAAAATCCACGCCTGAAGATATGCCACAAAAAATAATTTTTAAAAAAATCCACGCCTGAAGATATGCCACAAAAAATAATTTTTAAAAAAATCCACGCCTGAAGATATGCCACAAAAAATAATTTTTAAAAAATCCACGCCTGAAGATATGCCACAAAAAATAACTTTTAAAAAATCCACGCCTGAAGATATGCCACAAAAAATAATTTTTAGAAAATCCACGCCTGAAGATATGCCACAAAAAATAATTTTTAAAAAATCCACGCCTAATGGTATGCCACAAGAAAAAATATGTTTTTAAAAAATCCACGCCTAATGGTATGCCACAAGAAATAAAAATAATTTTTAAAAAATCCACGCCTAAAGGTATGCCACATGAAATAAAAATAATTTTTAAAAAATCCAAGTATGCTTCAAGAAAAAAATAATTTTTAAAAAATCCACGCCTAATGGTATGCCACAGGAGAAAAAATAATTTTTAAAAAATCCACGCCTAATGGTATGCCACAGGAGAAAAAATAATTTTTAAAAAATCCACGCCTAATGGTATGCCACAGGAGAAAAAATAATTTTTAAAAAATCCACGCCTAATGGTATGCCACAGGAGAAAAAATAATTTTTAAAAAATCCACGCCTAATGGTATGCCACAGGAGAAAAAATAATTTTTAAAAAATCCACGCCTAATGGTATGCCACAGGAGAAAAAATAATTTTTAAAAAATCCACGCCTAATGGTATGCCACAAGAAAAAATAATTTAAAAAAAATCCACGCCTAATGGTATGTCACAAGAAAAAAAAATTAAAAAATCCTCGCCTAATGGTATGCCACAAGAAAAAAAATAAAAATCCACGCCTAATAGTATGCCACAGGAGAAAAAATAATTTTTAAAAAATCCTCGCCTAATGGTATACCACAAGAAAAAATAATTTAAGAAAATCCTCGCCTAATGGTATGCCACAAGAAAGAAATAATTTTTCAAAATCCAGGACTGAATGTATGCCCCAAAAATAATTTTTAAAAAATCCACCCCTAATGGTATGCCACTAAAAATTACTTTTAGATATCCTCAGCCAAATTATCCTTGAACACATCTGGCAAGCATTGAAGGTTCTGATCTGGCCTTGTCCTATTATTTCGATTAGCATTGATTCGTGATTATCATTGGATACAAATACTAATTAAAGTGTAATTTGTCATGTCATATCGATGGGTCATCAATAATAGCGTGACCAGGTCATGGACAGGCCTAGACATGATAACAAATATTTTCAGAGACGTGAATGAATTAAAAAATATTTTCAGAGACTACTCTAAGGCGTGGATTTATTAAAAAAATATTTTCAGAGACTACTCTAAGGCGTGGATTTTTCTATAGAGTATTTTTGGTACGCAAATTAAAAAAAAATCCAGTAAGGAAAGTAGTAAAGTCCGACGGGGCCGACTATATGATACCCTTCACCACTTTGGGTATATTCAACAGATGAATCCTAACAGTCGTCGCATTTTTAAAGGTCCAGTAAAATGAAACTGGATCCATACACATGTCAATCTGCAACCGATACTAAATTTTTCATTTGGTCAGATATAAAAGGAATATCTAAATCTGAACCGATTTCAAGAAACTTAACACACATCGTTCTAGACCTAATACATTACGCTGTGCCAAATTTCATGCGAATCGAGAGACATATAGGGACTTTGGTGCACCATTTACATTAAATCGGACGATAATATACAGAATCTATATCCAAAAGTGAACCGATTTTCACCAAACTTAACACACATGATTCTAGACCTAATTCATTACGCTGTGCCAAATTTCGTGCAAATCGAAATATATACAGGGACTTTGGTGCGCCATTTACATTAAATCGGATGAAAATATATATGGGAGCTATATCTAAATCTGAACTGATTTTCAGGAAACTTTGCACACATCATTCTAGACCTAATTCATAACGCTGTGCCAAATTTGGAGCAAATCGAAAGATACTTAGGGACTTTGGTGCGCCATTTACATTAAATCGGATGAAAATATATATGGGAGCTATATCTAAATCTGAACCGATTTCAGATTTAACTCACATCACTCAAGACCTAATTCATTACGCTGTGCCAAATTTCGTGCAAATCGAAGAATATAAAGGGACATTGGTGCACCATTTACATTAAATCGGACGAAAATATATATGGGAGCTATACCTAAATCTGAACCGATTTTTAGGAAACTTAACACACATCATTCTAGATCTAATTCATTACGCTGTGCCAAATTTCATGCGAATAGAGAGATATCTAGGGACTTTGGTGCTCCATTTACATTAAATCGGACGAAAATATATATAGAATCTATATCCAAAATTGAACCGATTTTCACGAAACTTAACACAATTGATTCTAGACCTAATTCATTACGCTGTGCCAAATTTCGTGCAAATCGAAATATATATATAGGGACTTTGGTGCCCCATTTACATTAAATCGGATGAAAATATATATGGCAGCTATATCTAAATCTGAACCGATTTCCAGGAAACTTAACAAACATCATTCTAGACCTAATTCATTATGCTGTGCCAAATTTCGTGCAAATCGAAAGATATATAGGGACTTTAGTGGACCATTTACATTAAATCGGACGAAAATATATATGGGAGCTATATCTAAATCTGAACCGATTTTCACGAAACTTAACACACATCATTCTAGACCTAATTCATTACGCTGTGCCAAATTTCATGTGAATTGAGAGATACATAAGGACTTTGGTGCACCATTTACATTAAATCGGACGAAAATATATATGGGAGCTATATCTAAATCTGAACCGATTTTCACGAAACTTAGCACACATCATTCTAGGCTTAATTTAGTACGCTGTGCTAAATTTCGTGCAAATCGAAAGATATATGGGACTTTGGTGCACCATTTACATTAAATCGGACGAAAATATATATGTGAGCTATATCTAAATCTGAACCGGTTTTTCCCAATTTCAATAAGGTTCGTCCTTGGGCCAAATAAATGCGACCTGTACTTTGTTCACAAAAATACATGGACGGACAGACAGACGGACGGACAGACGGACATGAGTAAGTCGACTCAGAAAGTGATTCTATGCATATTCTCAAAAGGAACCATGTTTCCTTTTGCCTGTTACAAACATATGCACAAAGACCTAATACCCTGTACCACATTGTGGTGAAGGGTATAAAAATCTACGGTCTTTTGGTAGGCTGAATTTTTACAAAATATTTTTTTCGTAACACCCCAATATTGTCTATATTTCATATTGATAATTTCGGGATTTCAATTAATATTAGATTTACCGAAACTCAAAGAAAAAAATTTCCACCAGTAACGATTACGATTTTCCTTTGAAGTTTCTGTAATTACATTTATTGTTGTTGTGGACATGTTGTACAACAACAAAAACACAATCACCCACACAAATACATATGCACGCCATGTAAATATGTGCATAATTCTTTGAAAATATTTTCCTTTTTTCTTGCTTTCATGTTTTCTTTCAGTCATCATAATTACAATAATCCTCCCGTTGAGCTTATCGACGTTTCTCCTTTGAAGCCTCATTCGTATTTGGCGGTATTTTTTCTTTGTGACTGGCAATTCTGTAACTTGTTTTTCGTTGTGTCATTTCTTCTTTTGTTGACTTGATTACATTTAATACCCAATACTTAGTGGGTCGATTAACTCAACAGCACCACCAGCACCACCAATCGGGGCTCAAGTAGCTAGTGCTGGCACTTTACCAGTTCTCTGTAAGCTGTTTTTCTTGGGAATTAGTCTGCATAATTTTTTTGGTAGGCGATTGAAGTGGGAGGTCGGGAAAAAGAGTGATGAGGATTAAGTGGTAAACAATTATTGGTCAAGTATTTGAGGATTTTGCGGAATCACCCTGTAGGGCAAGAAGGAGAAATAGCAGAGGATTTTTAATTAATTTGTTTATAGGTCGATACAAGGCGTGGATTTTTTAAACATATTTTTTCAAGGGTCTATACAAGGCGTGGATTTTTTAAAAATATATTTTTTTTAAGGATCGATACAAGGCGTGAATTTTTTAAACATATTTTTTTCAGGGGTCCATACAAGGCGTGGATTTTTTTAAACATATTTTTTCAAGGGTCGATACAAGGCGTGGAATTTGGCATAGCGTAATGAATTAGGTCTAGATCTAGAATGTGTGTTAAATTTCGTGAGAATCGCTTCAGATTTAGATATAGGTCCCATATATATTTTCGTCCGATTTAAGGTAAATGGTGTACCAAAGTCCCTATATATCTTTCGATTTGCACGAAATTTGGCACAGCGTAATGAATTAGACCTAGAATGATGTGTGTTAAGTTTCGTGAAAATCGGTTCAGATTTAGATATAGCTCCCATATATATTTTAGTCCGATTTAAGGTAAATGGTGTACTAAAGTCTTTATATATCTTTCGATTTGCACGAAATTTGGCACAGCGTACTGAATAAGGTCTAAGAATGATGTGTGTTAAGTTTCGTGAAAATCGGTTCAGATTTAGATATAGCTCCTATATATATTTTCGTCCGATTTCATGTAAAAGGTGTACCGAAGCATCTTTAT